TTTACGGCATTATTTTGGAATGAGACGAGCACATATTACACCTACTGGGAGAGTTTTAAAAATAGTGCTGACGGAAAAGACCGTCATAAAGTGACCGATCTCATATGTAGCAATATTTCTGTCGCCAGGCCATGTTGTAATCCAGTTTTATGCAATGTTGATCTAATCGTTGTGTATCGGTTAGGTCTACAAGCTTAGAAATAGCGCATCGTAGCACGCATGCTACAATGAGCAATCGGGCACTTCGGTCTGCCGCGCAATACTTGTGGAATCCAACCACTGCATAACAGAATCTAGCTTCAAAGTTATTAGACCAGTGTGGCACGATTTGGAAACTGAGTGTTGCATTAATCGTAATCTTGAGCAGCCTACTTGTAAATTCCGACGAAATATTAGAGTTTAGGTAAATTTGCTCAAAATCAATTTGATAAAGAACACAACATTGGGATGTGTAAGGGTATATAAATGTGTACGAAATTGTGACAATGATCAGACTCACGATATTCCATTGATTGTGTCGGATCACTTGGTGCTCACCAGATATTCAGAGTTTGGTAAAGCTTCTGTCCGTAACACCTTTCAGATTTAGAATACTGATAATCTAATGAAACTGGAGGTCGGGAACGAAGAAGATAAATGGATTAGTTAAATGATGGTTGAGATGTCGAAGAGTGCGTGAATTAAACAAGCTAGCTGATATGAGGGTGTCCGTAGCACGGTATACTCAATGGCTACCTAGTGTGGGTGTGTGATCGAACGCCTATGAATAAGGTATGTCCAGTAACATTGATGAGGTTTGCATCAATGTCGGAAACTTACAGAACCATTTATTTATGAGATTTATTTAGCGCTACACTTTTTGACCTCTTGTCGCTATCGAATACACCTGATTCGGTCACTGTTTGTGACTAGTTAATATATTTTCGATCAAAACGAGAGCATCAAAATGATAGGCGATTTATATTTACCTGTCTATGCATAATTAAAATATTCAGTATACTCGACTCACTGAAATCTTATTCACATCAGCATTAGAATTTTCTCCTTGTTATTCTCTACATTGCAGCTAACTGATCTACGGTCTGGTAATGTGATAGCTGCTAGTATTCAGAAACCCTACTGCCTTGAAACAAACGTTTTCATTCAAATCACGGGACATACAAACTCACAAACAACTGTCAACTGATTAAAATTAGACAATAGAGTGGCTAGACGTCCATTCATTGGACACTACCAAACACCTGGAACCGTACCGACAAAACAAGAATCTAGCCGGAAGAAATCAATTGGTTTATACTAGTTCGTGAAAAAGATATTGGATGTTGGACAAGTTTATCGCGTTCGAAAACTTTCGCTACCGACTTAGGTTCGTAAATATGTTACATATGGATGCTGAAAGCTAGCTTGTCGCAATGAACAGAAATATTATGTAGCTCGGTATGTGTTTATGTGACAATCCAAGCTCTTGTAATGTATAAATATATCTTGAAAGTATGTGCTCTGTTGGAGAACCTCTATCACTAACACCCAGCATGTAAAAAATTTAAAACATTAGTGGCTTAGTTATGACTTTCAGAATCTTGGACAGTTTCATCTGTCATAATCAGTTCAAATAATTGCTCCTGGAAGAAACCATTTCACTGATAAACAAACCTAATGTCTTGTTGTTCTTATCGTTTCAGACTTAGGATGAACTGATAAGTTTATCAGCACATATTTTCAGTCACATTGTGGCCTGCGCTGAAGTAGTAGCAACTTATTATTGGAAATTTCATTCTGTACTCTTAACATCTCTTCACGTTCGAAGTTCCACGTTCTAACTGACTGTCTACATCGTGAACAGATAACATTGACTAGTCTGGAGGGAAATAAACGCCTATTCCATAGTTCTTCGTTACATGGCAACCAGCCTTGTCTTCAATAAGTATGTCGAAAGCCCCATACACTCATACTTACTACAAGCCAGTGCTGAATCTCTCACTGTTGCTCCATTGTCTGGTTAGTTCTAATTTATGTGCTCGAAAGTGGTACCCTTGAAGAGCCACTTCATTCTGTAATTGTCCAAGCAGTATCTTAGCTCGCTTGATGTTGAAAAGTAATTATCAACATATGCACTTCGTTTGGTTCGTGAGTCTTCCAGATTGCTAACAGTAGCCGTTGGCAGTATCTGTAAAAAGGAATTATATTTTGTATTGTTGCGACGTATATGTAGAGATCGGATGTTACTATTAATAATCTCACTTAACACTTTCTAGACTTCTGTCATCACTGTTTGGCTTTTTGAGATATATTTTTGTTGTGGTGTTTCGTTCTCTGAGCTCAGAGATGATGATCTTTGTCACCCATTAATTCTAACTTTATCTCGGTCAGTAGCCTGTATTTGTTGAAGGTTATTATGCAAAGTTGCTAGATGATTCCTTTCTGTTCACTCACCAAATAAAATATTTGATGCTTGTGAATGCATACTCTCTGAACTTGCTGCATTCATCCTTCGTATCAGTTGCAAATCGGTTACTTAAAAGTTAAGTTAAAAGTAAGTCATTGCTGATGTATGCTTTATCGTAGACACTCATATTAAAATTTCCGATTAAGTGCTACCATTCTTTTATATCTTCCAGATCGAGATACATGTATGCTTTTCCTCAGATCTTGTGACATGACTTCATTGACGCCAGTGTTGCATTGAGTACTAGGACTAACTTTTTATCCTTCAGTCGAAACTTATTAACAGCTACCTTTGTGTTAGATTAAAGGGTTCAAGTATAAGTTAAATGACGAAGGTTCTATCACATCTTCATTATCCATCAAATCCTTAAAGATTGGTTATGTAGACTGACAATCATATTTACTAGATCTAAGACCGCCTTTAATTCATCAAATAGAATTGTGGTGTATAATTTTCTACCGATCATAAATGCATCTAAAAAGTTCAATAATATCTAAAATATCCTCTACAACATCACAGAGCCATACGTTAAATAACCACATCTCTTCGTTGTTCCAGACGGTTAGTGGGATTAAACAGTGTTTCCTACCTTTAACTATATCTCCGATTATTTTTCTAATGGCATTTAGCAAACCTTGGGTGCTCTCTGTGGTGTGTATTCGTTACTCAGCGGAATTCTCGACCATAATTATAATAATGACACTAGATTTATGTGATGAAATACAGGTTACTGAAATTCCAGTTGCCCAATCGATCAGCATCCGTAATTACTATGTGTGCTATCAAATTGTACCTTACTTTTATAAAACGAGATACGGCCTTTGTATTCACTCACTTCTAGCTTTGGACTGTAGAAATTCGTTTCGACAGTTGTGTAGTCACTTAGTTATATGAATGTCATGCATGATCAATATTCGAATAATAAAAACCAGGTTGATCTACTCGAAATAGAGCCACCGTGAGCGCCATAAGAACGTCAGTGGAGTTAGAAATACGACTTTGTATACTTGTGAAATGTAATTTGTAAGAATGTTCCATGGCTTTGTATTTATTTGTATAATTCTTCGAAGGATTGTTTTACTTAGGATCAAGTCAGTCAGTAAAAACGTAGAAGTTCATACGTACGTACATAGGTTCATGTTGCCCTGAACGTAGGGGGAACGTCGAAGAGGTAATGCTAAACCTCAAAAACATGTATTTAGGAACAAACGGAATCATTTTATGATAAGTAATGTCATTAAGGAATAACAGGTTTGATGTTCTAAGCACTGTCTATTCATGTCTCAAGCACATTTATAATGATAACTACTCATTAGCATTGGGTGAAACACAGTGTTCAGATTGTGCACCAGTGTAATAGAGGAGAAATATCTACTTGGCGTTCTCTAGTCGAACATTACTCCGGATGAAGTACAAGATATCATAGAAACTTATTGGATTTTTACAAAAGTAAAGGTAAGAAGGTCTTCATGAGTTTCGTTTACTGAAACTGTGGAGTCATACTTAGTAGTTTAGCAAGTATGTTAGTCTATAGAACATTTTTATGATGTAACATATAACATTTTGCGCCATACATTATATTTTATGGTGATTTATGTGATTTCGTGTTTCTACACATTATTACCTCGTAATAATGTGGTGTATTTCTAGGTGCCCTGTTGCACAAAATGTCTTGTGTTATAATTAACAAAATAACAGCATAGTTATTTGCACCTACTCAATAACATGTTGTGTAAGCGTTAAGGCATCTTATCTTATCTTTCAGGTTTATTTAGCTGCCTTGTAGCTGTTAATAAAGGTCTTTTATCAATTGCAGGCCTCTCAGAAACTCTCTTTTTAGGAAAAATTCTTTTGAAATATCGTTGTTCAATGTAAGCAAACAGTAAGTATTTTAGTTAATGATTTAATGAAACACTTACTTCATGTTATCAACCCTCGTTCTCATTATATGTGATATCAGATTATGTAATGGTGGGTAGATTAAAGCAATTATGCATTAGTTCAGTCGGGTTATGCAATATATATAGTACTCCAATTCTGCCGTAGTAGGACAGTATCAGAGTTAAAAGTAATATGTTAATCTGAGACAATATAGTGGTAATAAACTCATCGACAAAAATCTTTGATGTCAGAAGTTTGTATTTGAAGTCTGAAGATAGGTCTCCACAAACTGGATCCATTCACCATTCATATTCACAAAAGTGGGACAAATTCTTAAATGGTATCTGTAAAATATAGTCAGACCCTAATTAGATGCGTTGACAAAACCAGATCATATATATTTTGATATTTTTTATGTAACAAAATAGACCTACAAAACTAAAATATTAACTGTACAAAATTTTAAAAAGTAGTAACCATCCAATAATGTTTGCCCAGAACACTTATCTGATCGGATATATATATATATATATATGTTGATTATACATGAGCTACATTTTATACTTTTTCTCCTTTTCATATCAAAAACCTAAAGTTGACAGTGGGATTTGTCTTAAAAGTATTTTGAAAAACCTATGCGCAGTCGTGCTTTCCTGTGAAAAATAAGTTGACAATGCCTGTTCCCTATCCTCAACATCCTATCCCAATTGAAGCGCTTTCTGAATATGACATTCGGGAAATACTCTTAGATGGTCATGAAATCCTTGAAAAGTATTATCAGTTTATTCATTAATTAAAGATAATCAGACCCCTGACTCCTGCTGAAAACTTCCAGAGGATCATTAATCATATTGATTTTTCTGAGAGTAGCAGTTATGGTGATAACCTTCCACAGAATAAAGAATCTGATTTTTTTGCAAAGAACTTCACACCGAAAATTTGGGAAAGTGTTAAGGAGACTCTACGGTATGTCGTATCAAGTATATTTATTTGTTTTTAGTACTACCATGATTGAAATCAACGCTTTGGTTGATGTTCTTTCTATCATCAAAGAGGGAAAATATCTGGCTATTAATCCTGTTGCTGATGACCCGCAAGAAACTAATCTTTCTCTCTACTTATCCGGGAAAAAGCGGGTTAGTTTTATCGAATTCTCTCATGATGTATTTTGAAATGAGTAGTCTATCGCTGCAGCCGCCGATATATTGATGAAAGGCACTGAGCGTCTTCGCCGTAGACATAGTGAATTGGTGGATGCCAGAGTGCGACGATTGAATTCAGTTGTTCCACCTCAATTCGATAATTCTCACAATTCCTTCCATAAAGCACTAATGCGTCTACGCCAAGAATGGAGACTGAAGTTGCACCAGAATTCTATTTTGGGTGATGTTAGTCTACGGTCAGTTGGTTCTCACTTTAAAGAGTCTGGAAATTTCGAAATCCGGGAGTCAGACGGATTTTCTGATGGCAAATCAGATGTAGAGTCACAAGACGACAAGTGCGTTGATGCAGTAACTGGAGTTATGGTAAGGGGTTAACTGTCGTTTTCTTATCATCGGTGGTCCATGTTGTATATACTATTTAATGTATATGAGTCATTTTTAATGTCCTAGAAAATTTGATGTTTGTTGAAATATGAACTTCATGTTTGTAATTTAGAAGAAATTTAAACCGTTATTAATTTCTGTCCAATAGCTTCTTGACTTTTACGGCTGTTAAATTATGCCAAACTCTATACTGATTTCAGATTGTGTTGTGTTTTTGTATGGCTTACAAATGATCATGTTTCACACTACTATGCAGGTAAGGAATTCAAGATTCAACGTCTTAGGTTATCCAGAATGACGCTCAGAAATTCCATAACGAACTAGCTTCACAAGAGCAGTTGGATTGGTACATAAACATAAATAAGGCAAACTCAGGAAGTTTATCTTAGCAAAAAACAATTAAGATTGATAAAAAGCTCTATATTTCTTCACTTAATATAGGAGATTAAGAAGACATGGACAAAAACTTGGGGCTCTTACATGGTTCTACTAATGAGATGATAATACAGTCAGTCAGTCAGCTACAACGTAGAACTTCGAAAGTATGTACATCAGTTAATGTTACCATACTACATTAGCACAGACATGTAATTGTCAATTCAAACTCAATAATGGTAGATGTAGTAGAAGTATAAACAATGATTGGAAGGATTGGGGTCTGAAGATATTATTCAAGTGTAATACAGTGAAATAAATTTTTTTAAAAAAGAACAAGGTCATAAGGAATTCAGAAGATTATAATTTGAGGGATGACATAGAATGAATGCAACTGCACCATTGCAAACGGCTTTGAGCCATGTCATTCAAGGTCTCTAACCATCAGTTACTCTCGTCTCGCGGACCACAACCAGGTAGTCTGCACCTACCGACATGCCTCAGTCCACTTGCCAGTGACTTCATAGATTTGTGCCATGTATTGGTTTGATCACCCCTAGCTTTCTTCCAGCCTACCCTTACATCAGACAATATGGCTCGTTGAGGCAGTCGGTGATTAGGCACACGTCACATATGTCACAATCACCTCAACTGATCAAAAATCACTACTTCATCAATCGGTCTGCCATCTTTAACTAGTTCCCTATTCCTAACAACAGCATTGCTTACTTGGTGATCCCAGGACATACGAGTAAAGCTCGAAGAAATCGAATAACGCTAGGGTCGGCCAGACCGAAACACGGCCCAAATCAATGAAGTAACTGGCAAGTGGACTGTTTGTAGATGTAGACCACGATGTTGGAGGAGGTCCGAAAGCTTTCTGTAGAACTCATCTTTCACCTCGTCTGAACTGCAGTCAGTGGGAGCGTAGGCAGATATGACGAAGAGGCAACGGTTAGTGTCCCTATCTTTTCGAGTCCTTACTGTCCCGTTCAATCGAACAGCGCTCAAGCGAATATCTACTGGGGTCCAGTCTGGACGTGGATGTATAGACCACATCTTCACACTCAGACAGGTCCTGGAACACAGACACACATTTAGGCGTCCGACAGTAGTTGTCTTCCTGGACCTTAAGGCGGCATTCGACTCTGTGGATCGTGAGGTTCTGTGGCAGTGTCTATCATTGAAGGGTGTACCAAAGAAGTACATTAACCTTATACAAGCTCTCTACTCGAACACTACTGGTCGAGTGAGAGCTTATGGCGAACTGTAACGGGAATTCTTTACTTCAAGTGGTGTCTGTCAGGGATGTCCACTTTCCCCGTTCTTGTTTAATTTTGTCATTCTGCTAGACATAACATTATCTTCGTCCGACTTTTCAGGAGTTGACTTTCTACCAGGAAAATCGCTTACTGACCTAGAATATGCCGATGACAGTTCTATTCGGTGAAGACGCTGACAAAATACAGAGTCTTCTGACTACCCTAAGCAACAATGCAAGCATGTTCGGGATGCGGTTTTCCCTCTCGAAATGCAAAGTGTTGCTTCAGGATTGGCTTGCGACTTCACCGGAACTAGTGATAGGGAGTGAAGTAGTCGAACGTGTAGACCGCTTCACTTATCTGGGGAGTCTGATCAGTGCCGATGGCCTGGTGACTGACGAAATCTCAGCTCGGATACAGAAGGCTCGACTGGCTTTTGCCAACCTGCATCACTTATGGCGCAGGCGAAATATCCGCCTGCTAACCAAATGACAAGTGTACTGCGCAGCAGTTCGCTCCGTTCTCCTATATGGATGCGAAACATGGTCGGTAAGAGTAGAAGATATTCGTAGGTTACTAGTATTCTATCACATGTCTTAGAAGCATTGGTTGTGTATCGTGGGACAACCGAGTAAGCGATGCTGCCATTAGGAAACGAGTACTAAGTAAGGATGGCAAATCAATAGATGAAGTAGTGAAACTTCATCAGTTGGGGTGGTTGGGACATGTGTTACGTATGGCTAATCAAATATTTTTGTTCATTTATTTCACCAATGAATTCCTTCTCATGGTGACTAATATACCCATTTCGAAATTTTTTTTAATTATTTAGTTACTGCATTTATCATTAGCACATTTAAATATGTTGCGTTGTTTTTCAGCATAAGACTTGATTGTTATAAACTTTGTTTTATCTAAACATGTATATTAGCGTAGGGCCATGATGAAACACTAATAAAAAAGAAATAAACAATAATTAACGCCGGTATAGATGCATTATTGTTTGTGGTGTTTGAATTACTTATTTTCGCTGCTGTCTTTTGTTACTGAAATTTAATTCATTGGTAAAAATTAATACTCGTTTATTGGCAGAGTTGACATTTTGTAGCAATCTGTATAATTTATGTTACATAACGCTACATTTTTAAAAATATGCATACTTCATTACGTCCAGTGGATTTAATCGTTATGTGATTTATTTTTTAATAGATAATTTTCTCTCAGTCTATGGAAGCTCTTTTAAATTCATCTCATGGACCTGGTTTATTAAATGTTGAGTTCCTTGAATCAGATATTAATTCTCTACCTATACCATTGTTGGAGTTCATATTTCATAAACAGCAAATGTCCTCATGTTCTAAGGATCTGTTGTCTTTAAACCAAAGACAAAAGCTTTTCAAAGCTCAGCGACTGTTAGCGTGTCGTGAGATCTTATCTTTGCTTGCTTGTGAAGCATGTACTTCAAAGGAATACAGCCATTTAACTGGTTCTGTCGCTTTTGCCACTCAGGTTAGTTTCCTAACATTTATACTTCCTTTTTTATTGATGTTAGGCTAATATAATTTTAGGAAAATCTATGAACCATAAGGTAAATTCTGGTTACGAACGATAATCTTTTCGTTAGCGTGTTGATGTCATTTTAGTTCCAGTTCAGTATCATTCCACTCACCATGTACATGACAAATGAACGGTAAAAATAGTCACTTTGAGCTTCGTTGATGCCTTATACTGACTGCTATCTGATTCCTTTCTCTAAGAACCTATTCAAGTAAATTAGTGCGGTTAAATCTCATATTGACACCTGTTTTGCTTTATCAACAGCTCAGAATATACCATTCACGTATTCATTGTTTGCAACGTTATCATGCACTTCCCTAAATTTTATTATCGACAAGATTAAAAAAATGAATGAAGAAAGAAACCTTAGTCTTCCGTAGTCTGGTACAAAATCACATTGTAAGGCGGTGGTTTTCATTATTTCTAGGGAATTCGCGTGCAGGACCATTTCCCCTACAGATCCACATTGGAATACATACTTCCTTTTTACAGTCATTATGAACAGTTAAATGTGACAAGTACTGTCACTAAACGTTTATTCCTAGTTGCGATACGTATAAAAATGTAAACAAATCTAGAGAATATATATACATATATATATATATGCAAAAGCAATTCGACATAATCTAAAATATGAGAAGAGCTGAATTTGACTTATTTTCAATTTCTAATAGATAACGATAATATTTTTTAGCACGAGTTAAATCAATGAGTTAATACAGCTCTACTTCTACTACTGTGCAGTTTTGTTTATCTCAAATTTTAATAGGTTGTTAGTCATAAATATAATGCTGAGTCTGTAGAAAACTGGAAATGATAACAGCTGTCTTTCAAGATGCGTCATCTGTATATTATGAGATTTAAAGTAAATAAATAGCGTCAAATTGTTTAGTTTTTAATTAAATATCTTTCATTCAGTAATAAATTTTAGGGTAACAAATGCTATTTATTGTTTTGTGTTTACTTCCTTAGGATAAAATCATAGCTACATTATTCCCGGGAGTACAAATATGTTTGTCGTCCACTGTTAACCCTGCAGTTTTTAGTGAGGACATATCGGGTGATGAGAAAACAAGATTACCAGATAAGAGACTATCTGATTGTACAAATTGTATAAACTTGCAACTGCATCGTATGCTATCAGGTCAACATCGTTCAGTGTGGCCGAATCTTGCTAGTTTGCCTCAACCAACCTGTGGTCCTGTAGAGATCCCTTTGTGCTATCGTGCAGGTGGTGCAAATGGATTACCCGCTTCAAGATTTTTGTCAGTATCGCATAACACAAAGTTTGCTTCTGGATTTTCTGTCTCTGTTGCTAGTGTCTCTGGTTTTGCTTCTCAAGCTGCTTCCGCTTTGTGTGTTATTCACTCTACCAACAAGATGAACACGAACAGTATTGAAAAAACAAACACTTTTAGCCAGCGTTCCCAACCCATCCTTATTGGTCAAGACCGCTTGTCGCTGTTCACGGAATGGGGACACTCACTTCCTAGTGGGGTCTATGTCCCCTCAGTTGGTTTTCGTCATGGAGCGTCAAGCTGTATTGATGACTCAGTTCCCGGCGCAAACGACGTTGCTATGCTAGAATATACCCTATTATCTCGAGGGGTTGATAAAGACACAATGAAAACTGTTCTTGGCACAAATCCGTCGTTACTTAGCCGAACCATCGCCATCTGTCGTCACCACTATCTTCGTGATCAGTAAGTCGATGCAATTTCATCTTGTTTTATTGCTGTATCCTGCATGCTTTTAGTTCTAAAAGCATGAATCCCTTGTCTGAAAAGCAAGGGCAGATTTTTTAGGTCTACTAAGTTCATCTAAATGGCTTAAGTCATAAGACTGTCTTGGCTTCTAAACATATATATATATATATATATATATATATATATATATATATATATATATATTTATTCAGGGAGATAAATCTAACCGTGAACACAAAACATCGATGAAAATGAAATCAACCATTGCAGTATGGGCAAACGAAGAATACTTACATCAACAAAAACGAAAGTAGATAGTTTACTGTCAAATAAGTTACAATGAAGAAAATTGCGGTTACCCATAAGTATTTTCCCCAGAACCTAAATCTCATTTGGTATCCTGTCAACGTCATACCTATTAGAAATATCTTTCAACTTTCCTTAATTTATTTAAAAACCTGCGTAACTATATAAATATGAAATGTTTGTCATGTATTAAGAAACATTGAGCAAAATAACAGGCTAATGTTTTTACGATTAGATAAAGGTTTGGGGCTCGTCCCAATGAACATAGTTGAATATATCACTGAGATAAAATTAGTCCTAAACACTCAACTGAGATTGCAGATGGAAAAACGCAACAAGAATTCAGATGATTGAACAGAAAAACGAATCACGAGCATGCTTAGAGAACTTCTGGAAAGGAAAATGATTGCTAACTGTACTTACAGTGATCTAAGGTCTTAGATGTATGATCTACCAAAGGTGCATAAACATTATGTTTCTCTTAGACCTATCCTATCAATGATCAGTTTACCGTATCAAAAAGTTGCTCGCTGGCTGGCGGATAGATTCGAACAAGATAGTCAAAGATTCGCAGTATATGCCCTAAAGGATTAATTTAAACTTGCTGATAGATTAAATTGTATAAATGTTGTTGGTAAGTCTATGGTTTCTCTTGATGTAACATCCTTGTTAATCAAAATAACGCTTCCTGAAATTATTGATTTAATTTGTCAGAAGTTTGATACCCATATACAATGCCAGATATAAAAAAAACCCCATTACTTATGCGCACAAGAGATTTTCAATCCCAGTTCAATGTTTGCATATACTGTCAAATGGATTGTATAACAATAAGAAGCCCGTTGGCTGAACTGTGGCAGGTATTTTTAGTAGTTATTTCGAAAACGTGGAGCGTAATCACTTGATTAACGAAAAGGCGAAATACTTCAGATATGTTGATCATACGTTTATTATCCGTATTTAATTCATTTGTTAGATTTCTTCAGTAATGCTTATCCCAACATACGATTTTCTATGAAACACCATGAGAGTGACATGTTTCACTTTCTTGATGTTACTGTACAGTGGAAGGCAGACAGGACAGTTCAACGTTAAGTTTATCATAAAAGTACTTGGAATGGTCTTAACCTGAATTTCACTAGTTTTAGTCTAATCAGTTACAAGAAAGCGTCGTCTATGACTGTATGAGAATAAAAAGGATATGCACCAACAACAAACTGAAGCTTGCTAAAGCTATTGCTGTCAAGTGCCTGAAACCTGACTTATGTATTCTTAACTTTGTTAGTAAATATTCCTTCATTACATCATTATATTTTTTTTATCTCTTTCAACTAATTGCATCATTGCGTTTTTGTTTCGACCGTCTTCTAGATTAATAATCTTATTTTCAATAACTGAACTTTACTCACTGTATTCTTATTTATCACGTAACCACCATTTTATAATCATGAACGATTCGTAACCTGCTGTGTATACATTGGTGAAAGGTTCCTATGTGCTTTGAAATTGTACATAAATTGAAACTTATTCCTAGATCTATTATCTAGACGACGACACTAATGAATGACTGTTTATAGGATAAAAAATTGATATTTTAAGATTTTGTGAAAAAAGATTATCATTTCCTTTTAAATGCTTTTGAATCACGCATCATTTAACTGTCGATTCACGTAATGGTTATGTTATGAACACAAAAATCTTACTGAAGTCAATGTTACCACACCACTTATAAATATATTGAGTCTGGTACCAACAAACATACAAAACGTGGGAAAAACTGTGTCGCATCTCTTCAACATTCCACAAGAGACAAATGAACTAAGAGATAAAGATTTATGCGATTAGAACCAGTGTGAGTTTCATTAAAATCATGAACCAGTCAATAATGGACCACTATTGAAAACCTGGAATTACTAGACGGTGATTTCATCCTAATATGCAACTCATTAGCTGTGCGCGAAATCTAGACTACTGAGTCGGCATCTAACACTGTTAATGTCTAACTTCAATCAATCCACAATATTTTGCAACCATCACCCATTGCCTTCTGTGGGTAACTGCCTCACATCCAACATCGTTGAACACCACTGGTCACGTCTTCTTACTAGAACCCCGAGAATTCCCTCACGACGCTAGTCACTAGTGAGCACATGTTAATTATCATTATAGGATTGTGGAGATTGTTGAGTTTCATTGAAATTGTGAACCAACCAGTTGTGTTCTAACATCAGTCGATTCATGCTGCCAAGAACCAGTATGAGTTGGTGCTTTAACTAAAATACCTGAACCAGGAACTCGTATCAGTCATTACACTGTACAGATGAACGTTTAATGACTTTTTAAGTTCATGATATGTCGTGCTCCCGTCACTATAATCCTTCTTCCTAATCACTTGCATTTCTGTCAGCATTAAATATTTTCGATATGAATAATACATAGTTCAATCAACTCAATACAATCCACAGATTTTAACAATTACATTTTCTTGGGTGCCACTTCAAATCTAACTTCAGTATATTTCATTTTAAGACTATACATCACGCTGATGGATAAAAAGTATCTTGTATAATTCGAAATAAATAAACGTAAGCGGTGTTAATATTTTTTTGAATTAGAGTTATACTAGGTTTTTATTTCCCAATTTTATTTCTTCTCCAGAGTATATTCCATCATATCCGAAATTTCGCAATGCTCTCCTATTAAGATTATAGCTCATTGGGATACCTTCAACTCTGCTACTGAAACATCAGTCAGATTGTGTTTCTATTGTACAGACTATGATGCCTATCGTTCGTGGTTAGGTATAACAGTTACACCTAATGGTCTTGTAGTATTATATGCAGACCCTCCTAGAACATATCATTTGGGTATGGGTTTAAATAAACTCAAAGATGTTTTAAGTAATCAGGTATGTTCATTTTCAAAAAACATAATCTTGCTACAATTATTCTGCTCTCAAAATTTTAGTATTTGATTTTCTAGTTTATTTCAATCTTTTGCGTATATGTGATAAAGCTTGGTCGGTAATCACTAATTCCGATAATGATTCAACTCTTAAGATACGATATTGATTGTTATTCATGAAAATGATGTACTGTTAATATCTTAATGAGTAGAAAATAGAATATTGATATTCTGTGATTTTATGCAAGCCACCATTTCAGAGAATAAATTTTTCTATAGCACCTCTACAATCCAAAGTACTGTTGCTAGACTAGCAAGAGAATGTCTGCATTTTAGTCATTAAAAATATATGAGAATTTCATTTTCTGAATAAGTTGGACTGAGCTACGAATATTCGACAACCCGACCACCACGTCAACGTAGCAGCTACGGTCGTGATCAACGTGATCACTTTGTAACAAGCTACAAACTGACTAACGAAGAGGAAGGAAATTAACTAATTGAAGTTAAAAATATATACATAGTCAGACCATCCAACCCACAGAACCTACAGTAAAATATTTTGAATCTTGTCAACTTAATATTTCGGAATCTTGTGGCTTGTTCGTTTTTAATTGTATCGTTTTTGAAGTATATCACCCTTTGGCTTGAGGTTACTTGAAGTGATATCCAGTCGTGTTTACAAGAATCAGTGAGAGATACCAGTTACCTATGACATAAAAAAGTTGAACGCATACTTCAGTGATGATTTTCGAATTACTGAGACAAGATTCCGAGTAGCTTCTGGACAACCATGAAAGTAGTGGATTGGTCAAAGTAAAGAAAATAAATGACGTTGAAGAGTGTAGATAGATTTTTGGTAGTTGAAAGATCTACTCGTATCTAATACAAGTCACTCTTCCTGTAAGTCGATGAGAAAACGATAAGTGAACTCGTTGTGCCAGATACAGACATACATACACACACACACCCACATGAAAGAGCCAAAATAGATTCCTTGGATTTCCTGTACTGTTTCACGTTGAACATTGATGCCAGTGGCAAAAATTTGGAGTTAGATTTTCCAAGTTGCGTCACGAAACTATATCATCTTTTGTGTGCGCTGTGGCCATTTATCTGAACGAATTTCGCTCGGAAATTGAAGAGGCGCACTCTACGTTCTTGGTATCCACAGGTGAAGGTAGTTCCAAAAGTAAAGGTTAACGGGACGCATCTAAAACGTTTTAGATCCTTTTGCTATTTACAAACTGACTAACGAAGAGGAAGGAAATTAACTGATTGAAGTTAAAAATATATACATAGTCAGACCATCCAACCCACAGAACCTACAGTAAAATATTTTGAATCTTGTCAACTTAATATTTCGGAATCTTGTGGCTTGTTCGTTTTTAATTGTATCGTTTTCGAAGTATATCACCCTTGTTATGCTTAGAAAAGTGGATTCATCGCACTATGCAAATTTTTTTTTGTTCTTACTTTTTACTAGCATAATTTACGATTAAATGTCATACGGGGATTGTCCTAGTTTAGCATAGTTTTTTTCAGGTTCATTATATGTACTTCCGAATTAATGTTTTCTATCGAATTCTTTTTACTGCTTATCAACTTAGGTATTATATACACAAATGAATTATTTGGATATTCTAGCCATAAAAATTTTAGGCTGGGTTCGATTAGGAAACAATCCATTTTCAGCAGTAGCTAATCCTGAAGAGATGGGTGATGGTCCAGTGATGGTAAAAATGTTTGCATCTCCTTCTGCTAAATAGTGAGCTGATATTTTGCATACTTAACTTTTTTTGTTTGTATATCTTAAATATTGTTTTTAATACACTTTAATACAATTATTTTGTCATAAATTGATACATTTACATGGTCGAAATCTGAGTTAGTTTGGTCAAATAATATGCAAATGAACTAAATTTTATTGATAACTTTAAAAAACTGATACTGGATATTATGCATCTATGAAATAGTCTATCTGAAATCAGCTAATAAAGAGATTTGTGCTTCGTCTTGAAATTTTCTGTACATTGAAACGGAACAAGTCAATAAGTATTGTTATTCAGTATAAGATGACAAAACGGTATGTACAGTCTTTGGATCGATCTAATGTTAGATACAATATACTGAATACATGTATCTGTACTGTTGAAATGTATTTTGAAGTCAGCTATTTGATTTCGATTTCTTGAGGCCTCTGTTCATTGAACTCATGGTTCCTGTCAGTTGTTTTATATGGTGGTCATAGATCTACATATGATCATAATGAAATACTCTCCGCTGTACTAGTAATTTCACTGAAAGCATTTATTTCCATTTCCGTGTTTCGATATTCTCAGCATTTGTACAAAGTCTACTAGCCTAAATAAATTCTCAGCCTCGTTAAATATATTTACATTTTTTACTTGAGAAAGTAAGTGGTATCGGCTCTTTGATTACTTAAACACTTCTCTACACATTTGTTACATCAATAAAACGACGTTGTAGTTGGTTTTTACACCATTTAGTTGACTGATTTTAGTTTCGTGCTGATGCTAGTTATCAGAGCTTAAGCGACACTTCTGTTAGATTTTATATACCATTCAGTTTTCTGAGTTTAAGTACAAAAGCCTTTAAAATAAAAATTGGGTAAATCTGAGTTAAATAATGTAAGGCTATTGTCTCACAAGATAATGTAGAAGAGCAGTGACCTGGTTGTAACGGCAATCGATTTTCAACCTATAGGTCACAGGCTGAACTCCTTTCCACCTTTTTCGGTATGGGGAGATGGTATTATCATTAACCGGTACACAAAATGCATGTAGCCCGAATCAAAGTATGTTAAAATGTACTTGTTAGATGAATTACATTCAATATTTTAGATAAACACAAAAACAGCCACCACCATTCAAGTGTATTCTTTTGGTAAGATCTAAATTAGACGAAACACGCGTCCTAGATTCCGTTTATAACCAATACAGAGGAAAATTATATCTAAAAAATCATCCTGAAATATTTCTTTCTATTCATCCAAAAACGCGGGTAGTAGGTATTACTAACGCTGATATTTATATCTCTAATCTCATGCCTTGTCGTGCAGACATTTTTCTCACTTTTTCGTCACATTGATTTTCGGTGTTAATTTTGTAATTAAATGCCTGTTCATTGAATAATGTATATATTTTGATTGGTTGTTAACTCTCTGTTTCTACTTCTTCTTCTCCTTTTCTTAGTTTGATTTGTTTACGCGCAAGTGCTGTCACAGGCATCCGAATGTTTGTTTCTCATTGTAACCCAAGTGATTATCAATTAATGAACGACCACAAAAACATTTCTTCAAATCAAGACTTTCGTGAAGTATATCTTTCTCGTATATTTGGGAAAAGTTTAGTGTCTAAAGTTGAAGCACTTATGACTTTGTTATCCTAATGCAACTACTGTAAAATTATGTTGTCATAATTGTGTAAATAAATATTTTTTTTAATACTTTCATTTTCTGTTGTTAAATATACATCTAAAAAAGTATCATTGTTGGCCATTGATGAATGAAACGTAGGAATAAGTCATAACCAGTTCATCATATCATCACTATACCACATAATAATAATGATAATAATAATTCTATCAACTGTAGTTTTTCTACACAATCAATGAGCCAAACCAATAAGAATAGCAAAAAGTTACGAGTACCGTTTTATCATTCTCATTCGTAAGTCATATGTTTATACAACCAAAACAGAATATCTTAATGATTGCAACTTAAAAATTTTAATACTCATATAAATTTAGTAGTTTTGTTAGACAGGTTTCATATATATGTTCGTACTTGACTGACAGTTATTTTTGCTCGACAAAATGAGTCAAAACATAGATTACATTTAGGACTGCTAAATTGTCCTTGAAAACTATTTACTCAACACTTATACATACAAACTAATTTACTAAAATATAACTACTGAAGCTTCATATTTTCTTTTTTTTCACCACATATTACCATTTTTGAGGTTTGCCAGTTTGATAGTCTGTGGTGACTTATTTGGTTCAGTTCCTTGTGTTTTTCTCAGCGTTACTTTCAACTTTCCTTGCAACTTCCATGTGCGAATATGATGATTTCTTTTTTTCTTTGTATGATGTTCTTTGAAGTTTTCGAAGAACTAAGTTGTATTACCCCTAGTGGTTTTACCGGTTTCCTTCTTTGATAGTTTGCCTAAACTGTATTTATACAAAAATGTTAAACCAGTCAAGACAATTTGAGTTGATAATCACCATGACATAGATTACGTCACTGCACATAATAGGTGAAAGTACAACATTTTTATATAAATACTCATATATATTAGAGTAAACCCTGATGACGGTCTAATTGAAAGCAATAGTATTCACTTACATGTGTTCTGATTTTCACAATGGGAATCATTAATATTTTAGAGTGTATTTATTACATAGTCTAAAAATTTCTGACAATCAATCTTGGCCACCACATATGACACTAATGTTTCAAGAAAACCAAAACAGCTACCTATTTATCGTCATTTTCCCGAAGCAATAGTTGTCACAGACATCACACAATAAGTTTCTATTCATACTGGAATATGCATTAGTAACAACAATACGATAAAAAATTGACTTTTATTCAAGAGTAAAAACATGAAAGAATCCCTCATAAATATACTTCAGTTATCGTGGAAGTTTGACAGATTTCGATCATTTTACTAAATCCAATTGAAGTATCTTCCTTTGACTAATAAACATAGTTAATGCCTTATGTTTTCTTCTGTGGACTACTAAAATGTGTTGTTCATGTCCCTTACATAACTTAATGCAGCTCAATACGACCACGTATATGATTTTAAAATACAAGACAAACATAAATGGTCGTAAAGGATGTTCCTTGTTAAAAATATCACTAGGAATTACCAGGACTTACCATATAAAACGTAATAATCCGTGTATGCAATTTCTTATTCTTTTTTATCCTTTATGATATTGAATCCCGGAAGGTGATATTGGCTTAACTCTTGATTTCAACCAAGCTATACCAATTAACTTCGGTTAACTTCAGTTTGAATTAAATGTAGTTAATTTAGTTATCTATTTCTGTAAACAATTGGAAGTACCTATAGGCATGGCTATGTTTGATCCCGGTATTTAACAAAGAGTACTGTGCACTACATTAATGAACGACTTTCAGGCGATTCGAGAACATGGAATGCATCATTAAACAAGAGAATTACTGTTCAGAGATCATTATTTTCATTTCAACAGCATCACTTACGAACACTATGCAAGCAAAGCGTTAATTTTTGTTGTCAGTAGTCTGCAGTAAACCAGATAGGTATATTACCGCTTGAAAAACTTCTTAGGTACTGAATGTAAGTTATGTAATATTCCTAAAGATAATGAAAAGCAGTAATTTACCAAGGTAATATAAAAAATTATTATTAACTTGACTAATATAGTGATACAGATGGATAAGTGATGATAACATCTTGTTAACTTAGAATGGTATCTGTTTTAAATGTATCTATTGGATGTGAATGCATTGCATAAATTTCTTCTGTAAACGTACATTTGAGCCCTTTGGTGTGCGATGATCTTATTACCAACTTATCCCAATTGACGTCCTACTGTTAATTGATTTAAACACCACGATCAATTTTTCTTCTGGCGTAATAATAATAAGTAATTATACGAAATATTAGGTATGGTTTATCTCTAGCATTTTTTTCCTCCATCCAAACGATCAGAATGAACAGTTGAATAAATATGTAGATGAGTTGTTATATGTTCTGAATCAAAATTACAGTATCTAGCTTTAGTATGACAAGTTCACCATACAAAGACATAAAAGCACATATGTACATAAATAGGAGTGCACAATTATTAATGCGAGGGTGTTTAAGATTACCAGTGCGATCGTAATGATACACTTAACATCTGAGCACTTGTTTCATATCTTTTTAACACTACTCAACAAGAAGGCGCACAGAATAGTGAAAGAGTTAATTATTAACTGTAGAAATTAGAACAATGTCCACAAAAGACCATCTTTGAAGATTATTTGGGTGGCCGTACGTTACCAAAGCTGGGTTCAAAGATTGAGCTATTAATGACTAGTATCCACATTTAGATCTGTATTCAGAGTAGTGCTATGACAATCATTTTGAGCGTGTATCCATTTTTGGTACGAAAATCTTAACATGATTAAGCAAGCTGATAAGTGAAGATCGGCGCGGTCAAAAGCTATTGTTTATCCTGAACATGTTTGCGAATGAAGCACTTAAGGATACTGACGGTTTGTTTCTAAAATGGAAGTTCAGGAACAAAAGCTTGAGTACTGTTGTAGTGAAGGAGAACACAGGTGAGGGCAACCGAATTGTATTTAACGAAAATTACTGGGTTACTCAGTAAAATAGGAAAACCATATCGTAACCGTTAATTTGCAAATCTTCAATCCACCATCAATCCATTGTCTGACAGGTCACTATTCATGCGTTTCATACAAATTCCATTGTGTTCCCACTCTTCCTTTCTTGATCTTCCCCCTTCTTCTGCTGCCAGACATTACGTTTTCACTCGCGTCATATACTACTTATAAGTAGCGCGCACAACACTATTACTTTCGATAGCACTGGTGAGACAAACAACTCTATTACTGTTAATCGAGTTTTATTCACTGTTAATTATGTCTTTCGTACATATTTATTCAGCCCTCGAGATCAGGTAACAGAATAAGCTCTTCTTGCTCGGTAACACCCAATTTTGAAAGCTCATATACTGTCTGAAACACGTCGACTTTCTGTATACTGATGTTTTTAAGGTACTCTCTGGTCTTCGTTACAGAAAAACATTAACAAAATTTAATTCAGACTTCATCTGTTAACCCATTGTGGACATGGTTGCAACTATTTAATTAATATAGGATGTTTGTGTGAACTCTATTCTCACCACATATTATTGGAGTGTTTACTAAATAACCCCACACAAATCTTTTCATTATTGATTGGAGAGTTGTGTTCTCCGTGTTGATCATGATAATAAAACTTAGCGGTGAACCTATCTTAAAGCAATCGATTTACCCACGGTAATAACTGTTAAATCTGGGTTGAATGTTAAAGTGCAGAATAATGGATTTTTCAGGTGATGTTTTGCAATAACTATTTTTATGTTAGTGTCAATATAAACACATAAGAAGGGAATTATATCTTTCCGATTATCAGAAAGAAGCTTGCTAGAAAATGTAGTAAACCAGAATAACCATTCAAGAACAAGTAAAGCAAAATCAACACCGACATTCAAGAACAGCGAAACAGGTAGGTAGAGCACTTCGGAGAATTATTGAATAGACCACTGTCACTGAACACATCCGAAATTGAAGCAGAACCTACGGACCTCCAAACTGATTTCAACCAACAAACAATTGAAGAAATCAGTATGGCCATCAAACAATTCAAGAGCGTCAAAGCAGAAGCACCTGACAACATTTCAGCTGACGCACTGAAAGCAGGCATTAGTTACTGCAATGATGTTCCACGCTTTATTCGGCGAGATTTGGGAGGAAGAATAGGTACCAACAGACTACAAAGTAGGACACCACATCAAGATACCAAAGAAAAGAGATCTCAGAAAGTGTGACGACTACAGAGGAAACCGTCTACTCTCAGTACCAAAGAAACTCTTCGACAGAATGCTATTGAACAGAATGAAAGATTCAGTAGACGTATATGCAAGATACTGAGGATCCGTTGGCAAGACACCATCAGTAACAAACTTCTGTGGGAGAGAATAAACCAGATTCCAGCTGAGGAATAAATTAAGAAAAAGCACTGTAAGTAGATAGGATACATATTGCGAATAACACGCAGCTGCGTCACAAGAAAAACCCTCATTTGGGATCGTCATGATCAGGGGAAAAGAGGTCGGCTAAGGAACACACATTGTAGGGAACTGGGAACACGCACGAAACGAATGAATAGCAATTGAATGGAACTGGTTAGGAAGGTGCCGGACAGATTTGGTTGGCGAAATCTGGTCGGCTGCCTATGCTCTACTGGTGGTAACAGGACTAAGTAAATATTCATTATAGATAAGTAAATAAATTATTACAATAATGATAGTCATTAATTTGACCCAATAGTAATGTAGCTTAACTGAAAGATAGCTTTATAGGAGTGTTTTATTAAAACAGTTGCATCAGTATGAGAATGAATATTTGTAATTTGTATTGTTCAGTTTGTTTTGTACATTAATACAATAAATAATAGTAGTTATTCACATACGCAGATGAAATAAACGTGTTTTTTTGTGTGAAATAGCCTAATCTTTAAAACATACCAACTAATTTTCACGTGTCATTTATTTGATTGTACTCAATAAAAATTGAATACAATAAACAATTGCTTATGGATATATACAATAAACTATTAGTT